GACAACGGATCAAGGAGGGGGGCAATAAATATTTAATATTTAGTGGCCAGCCATTGTTCAGCAATTTTGCTCTACTGTTAAATCCGTAATAATAATGCCCAGCGACATGACAAGGACACAAAGGACACAGGAGAGGGTATAGGGGGGTGTACATACATATATATATCAAATGAAATGAGACGGAATGAAACGTGAAAACATGGAATTGTGGTTGGCATTATTAATACATGAAATCAAATGGCCCATGGCCATCCATCGCTCTCTCCGTTCTTCACCGATCCTGTTGCGGTCGTCCTTTTCAATTAGACTAAGCACACACACACACACACACACACACTCTGAACACACACTCTATTTTCAATTCGAGACTGTACATATATTTAAATGCTGGTTAACCCCATTTTGGCCCTCTGAAAATCGCCATTTTCGAATTGTAACCAAAAAGCCGAAATCGGTTTAATGAAGTTTATTGAGAGGCCCCCGAACTCCTCTTCCACATGTGTGGATTTTTCCAACGAAAATGTTAATTTTAATTCCATTTACCCTGTCACTTTATCGATTTATTTTTCTATATATTTGTTTTTATTTTCGTTGCCATTTATTTTGGGCCACTTGCTGGCTCTGCTTTGCGGCGAGGAGAACACACGGAATTCTGTTTCCGGCACCAGGCGTTAATAGAATTTGTTTTCAGTGTAATTGATAATGAATTTATGCTTTTTAAAGAAACTCTGTAGTTCTTAATGTTTATATTTTATATTAAATTTTTTTTTTTATTTTTATTTAATATTTAAGAGACTTTTAAAATGGTTAAGAACCATTGTCCCTGCCTATAATGAACTCTCAAGGAGTAAAATTATAATCACTGCTATAATTTTTTTTTATATTTTTTAAATTAAGATTTTAAGCTTGGTTATTAAAATATTTGTATTATGAAATATTAAATATTTATATATAAATAAAAATGTATTCAAAATTTTAAAATATATTATAATTTTAGATTTTAAACTTGGATATTATATTATTTTTAAATTTTTGTAATATAAGATATTAAATACAATACAACTTTTAAATATTTATATAAATAAATATTTATTTATATAAATATTTAAAAGTTGTATTGGAAATTATAATATATTTTTATTTAAGATTTTTAACTTGTTTAAAATTATTTGTAAATAAAAATATTTGTAATATTAAATTTTAAAATGTTCACTACTCTTATATATATTCAATATTTTTTATTTTAAAATCAGTAATAAAAAACCTAATCTTTAGACAACTTTCACCGCACTCTATACATAGTGTGTCCCCCTTAACCAAGAGAATAATTATCCAACCCTTGACTGTGGTGGGCGTTGGCGACTTCCCCCAGCCTCCCCCCAAAACGGCAAGTGAAATAAATGAGCCAAATTAACTGGTCACTGCAAGTCCCCTTCGGGCCCCCCTCCTGCCAACCGATATTAATGCAAGAGTTTAAGTGTTCCAAATGACGCTGATAATGGGGCCAACAGGGGATGATGATGATGATAACGGTGATGATGATGATGATGATGATGCTGGAGAAGGACAAGCTGGGGGAGCTTAATATGTAATTTATAATTTTGATTGCGCTGCCAGCGTTGACATCGAAGTCAGCGTCTCTGTTGGCTGCGCACTTAATCCGCTGAGAAAAATGTGCGCGCCCTTATTAATGCTTTAAATGCGGTGCCAGGGACGACTGACTGCAGCCACCGACCACTGACTGACTGACGTAGTGCACAGTGGCAGAGAGATAATTATAATTAAAATATATATATATATAAATATATAAAAAATATAAAAAAATATATATAAAAAAAATATAAAAAAAATATATAAATATAAAAAAAATATATATAAATATATATAAAAATATATAAAAAATATGTAAAAAATATATATGAAAAAATATATGAAAAAAAAAAAAATATATATAAAAAAATATATAAAAAAATATATAAAAAAAATATATAAAGATAAAAAATGTTTAAAAAATATATACAAAAAATATATACATATATATAGAAAAAAATATAAAAAAATATTTATTTTAAATAATAATAGTTCTGTAATGGGTTAAAAAATTCGTTAAAATTTTAAAATAACCACCAAAATTTTAAAAAATAAAGTCATAAATATTTTTATTTTTCGCAAGTTTATAAATATAAATTAAAGATTTAAGGACTTTGGGATGAACCAAAAAACTAACACACAATTCTTTATCGTTATTTTTCCCTTTTAATTAGACTTTCCTAGAAACTTTAAACCATCAAAATTTTATCAATACATTTTTTAGTTTAAATATAACTTTAATTCCTTCGAATTAGCTTAAGCTTTTTCTTCCGCCTTTTGCTACTTAACAAATTTTCCATTCGATTTCTTGTATTTACCAAGAAATTTTATGCAGATTGGTTAGCATTTTGTAGAGTCCTGCGAGTCCTTCCGCTGCCAAACCCTTTAAGTATTTGCATTAGCTCAGAGAGAGAGAGAGGGCGAGAGAGGGGGAGAGAGAGATAGCGAGAGGGACTACCCAAAATGGGGGGCGTGGTGCGTCAGAAATTAATGGAGCGTAATTTATGAAAATTATACAATTGCCAGACTGGCCACGCCCACATTGCACACTCACACACGCATCAAGGAGAAAGGATGCTTAACTTACAAAAATTTCATCAAAAGCATAAGAGAGAGAGAGAGAGAGGGAGAGAAAAAGAGCTGAGGAAAATGAGAAGAAGCTGGCATCTCTTCTGCTTACTTTGCCAAAAACTTTATATGAAGAAAGTTTGAGTCAAGCGGGGTGATGGGGCGCAAGAGGGGAGAGGTGGGGAAAGAGGCGGGAAAAGTGGCTAAAAAATTTAGGGGGGGGGTAGCAGGTGCAGCGGGTAAGGATACAGCGGAGCTGGAGGGTTGAAAACATTTTATTAACAGCAGACATCGTCTATGAAAAGCTTAAAAAACAAAAATTAATTTAAATTACATATTTGCCCACAAAGCAATGCCTGGAGGGGGGTGGTGGTGGGTGCTGTGTGTGTATGTGTGTGTGTGTTTTCTAGGTGCCTTGTTATTGTTCTTCCCGCTGCCGCTGCTGTTGTTTGGCAAAGAAAAAAAAACCTCAAATTATACACAAATTTACGATGTTTTGATAAGCTCTTGCTTCTTGCTCCTCCTCGCGTCCTTCACCCTCCACACCCTCTTCCCTCCCTTCTCCCCTTCTCCACATTTTTCCCTGTTTATCAGATGTGCCAAAAGCCATAACAACAACAACAACAACAACAAGTACCATTTGTGCCACGCACAAACGCAACACAAATCCGAATAAATAAAAACAAAATAAAAAATAAAAAACAATGTTGAGCAGACAGCAGAAAAACAAAAATTATTTTAATAAAATTCTTCAAGTCAAAAACGAAAACTGAATGCAGTACTGAAGAGGTGCTTATAAGGAGGGAAAGAGGATAAACAGAAAAGGTGAAAAGCCGAAAAACTTTATTTACGCTTAAAATAATTGCCTTGAGAAAGTTCTGGGAAAATTCTAGAGAGTTTCTTCAGATGAAAATAAGATTAAGAAAAAAAGATTATGTTTACATAAATTAATTTATAAAATATAATCATATCAATAAATATTCTCGTAATAATAACATATATTTAAAAATCTTAAGACTTAAAACTTTAAATTTTAAACTGCCTAATGAAGCGCAGCCAACTTTACTTTGTATAATTTAGGTGGCAACACCAAACGTCAAAATGTAAACAAGAAAATAAAAGTTACAAACAAAAAAAAAATACTGTTAATTAAGAAAATACCTAAACAGATTAAAGTCATTGAAAAAAACAATATAAACAAAATTCTATTAGTTACTTTCTTTTGCTTTGTTTCTTTTTTTCTCTTCTTTTCCATGTTTTTTTTTTCAATCAAGTCAAGTTGGCTTCACTTTATTGAAATATCTATCATTATTAGTTATCGATAATCAGTATATCAAGTATAAAAACATGTTCACACTTAATACCAAACATATGTATATCCTTAGACATCTAAATAAATTTAAAAAATAATAATCGATAATAAGGAATATATCAAAAACATATTTACGGAATTCTACAAACACAATTTTCAGTTTTAATAAGAAAACCCCATTGTACACTGAAGCTTGGTAGCTAAAGTACCCCGAAAAAAAATAAATGTAGGGCATAGAAAGTTGGTGTTCGTGTGGGCGGTGTCCTTTTTTTTTTTTTTTTTTTTTTTTCGAACAAAAGCCAAAAAAAAGTTTTTGTAGCGGAAACACGGAAATGTTTTACATGCACGCGCATAACGAGCGGCACCCCAAAGGGGGGCTGGGGTGCTGGCATGAAAACGCGGTGAAAGTGGGCTGAAATTGGGGGGGGGTTCAAGGTGGTGTGAAGCGAAAAGACGAGTTCAGGCTGCTGAGGGGAAAAAATGAAGAAAGATGAACACGCTTCAGCAGCAAAGTCATGTCACTTGATTCTGTTCTGTTCTGTTCCGACTTTCTTCGCTTTCTTCCCAGCCCCTAAAAACATATCTTTTCTTATTCACGCTCTTTGGTGAAAATTTCCGGGAAATATTCAAGAAGTCGCCGCAATTTAGTTGCTTTTCGAAATATATATAAACTTGTATAAGGGCGATTCCATTGCTATATAGACAAACATTCTGGGTTATGTTACATATTGAATTTAAGTAATATTTTAAATACTAGCAGGAAAAAGATATCGATTACTAAATAAACCTTGTAACTTTCTCCAACTTCTTCTTGTTTTTTAAATTATGAATTATTTTTGCATTAAGATAAATGTAAATAAACTCAAAAGCTGCCTTTTGAGGTCTCCGATTTATACAACTTAATGCAATGCCTCCATGAAGGAAGGAGCAGTGGAATGCAGATATTATTTGTACTCCACCACTAAGCTTTTTTCAAGCCTTATGCAACACTGACGAGAAAACATCAGGTGACGGCGTGTGTCAGTTTCTAGCAAGTGAAGTTTTTCTTTTATTTCGGAGTTTGAAGAGTTTTCTTTTTGTTTACAGTTGTCAGGGATATAAACCCCATTTAGCTGAGTAAGTGAGGACTATTAATAACATCAAGGAATCTTTGCTAAATGTTAATTAATGAAAGTGCAAAATTCGTGGCACGTGCGAGAATTTTCATGGGAAATGGGAGCGCCTGTTTAGTGATAAAAATAAGGCTACAAACCAAGATTTAAACCAAAAATGGCAAAGAATATTAGTTATAGATTCTAGAAAATGAGAGATTTCTGCAAAAATTGCAAAAATTTCGCTGTGTGTTTGCCAGGAATGTTTCGTTTTTAATTGTTATATTAATTATATTTTTTATCTTATAGCTAACATGGCCTCTTCCCCACCCGATCTGAAGGATGCTCAGAAGCAATACGAATGCCCCATATGCCTGGAGAACGTGCGTTGGCGTCTACCGGTGGCCTTTAAATGTGGCCATGTGTTTTGCAAAAAATGCATTGAGATGACTATAGAAAAGTTTGGCCAGAAATGCCCAGTCTGTGAACATGAAATCAATGAGGCTCCTCTAACGTTAAGCCTGTAAGAAGGTGTCTTTTTAATATTACTTTTAAACTTTTACGCTTATCTTTGTTTCAGCTTCAAAATCCGTCCTCGTGAAAGAGTTAGGCTCGTGCGAAGTTGTACCCTTAAATCCAAACCAGTATACAAATATCCCACTAAAGGTCGCCCAAGAAACGGCATTGTAAAGCCCACCAAAGATTCGAATAACTGTGATCACTACGAATGTCCGATATGCGCTGAAAATGTGATCCAAGGCAATGCAATGTCCACCGAATGTGGTCATGTCTTTTGCGAAAAGTGCCTTGAGACGACGGCCACCGAGTGTTTCATTTGCAGGAAACAAATAACAAGGGATAAGTTCATCCGTTTATATATATAAGGTGTTCTCCAAAACGCCTTAAGATCTCCTCGGGGGATAATAACCAAGTCATTTTATAAAACGGAACCAAAGAAAGATCTCCATCTCACTGTATACTGCCTGAAATATTTTCATAAAAAATGTTTTTAGCAACACCTCAGTAACAGTACCAAATAATAACAAAATACACAACTTTATGACTATTATTTAACCAAATCTAAAACAGATATTAGAGAAGAACGAAAAGAGCCACAGGGGGGAGGAGGATTTTCCTCATTTTCCCTCCCCCAAAAGACCACCGCCCAGTGGCCGTGTGTCAGTTAATTAGCTCATAAAATATGCAGAATGGCGAACAATTCGCACCTTTAGACCCGAAGAGGAGCTTCAAAAAGGCTGAGAGAGCTTGAAAGGCATTTGGGCCACAAAAGGGGGTGAGGCTGATGGGGGGGTTGGAAAGTGGGAAATGGGGGGTGCTAGGCGTAAATGGGTGTAACCAAATGAAATAATTGAGTGCCAAAGCAGACACAAAAGGATATACAAACTCAGCGATCCAAAAGATGTCCTAATTTGATTTTTAAATATTATTTAAGCTTAGTTTTTAATTATTAATTATAATATATATTATTTATTAATTTATTATATATATTTTATTTAATTAAAACTACATTTGTGCTTTAAAAAATAAAACAATTTTAAATAACAATAAAAACTTGGAAAAGACTTAAATTTAAAAAATATAATTAAACAAAATTTATAGAATTTTATGTGATATATTTTATATAAAATATATTAAATATATTATAAAAATCTGGGAAAAGACTTAAATTAAAAAATATAATTAAACAAAATTTATAGAATTTTATGTGATATATTTTATAAACAATATTTTAAATAAATATTCAAGAAACTAAGTCTTTGATTATAGATTTCTTAATACCTTTTAAAAGCAATCCTTCCACGTTGTTTCTTGTTTTTACAACAAAAATTATGTATTTAATTACTTTAAAAAAATATAAAAAATACAAGAATAAAGTATTTCCCCTGACAAACCAAGTTATTGTCACCATAATGTCTAATCTCCTTGGCAAGGACCCAAAAAAAAAAAAACAAAGGACAACGCAACGAGTTGGTTCTGGTGCTCTTTCGCTCGTTGGTTGCTGGTGGTCATGTATGGCAGATGAACGTTTTGTGGAGTTTATGAACTTTGTAATTACACACTTTATTAATTTATGCGCTGCGGGGCAACTTTCTGGCGAATTAGAAAACGGAAAACGCAGGAAAAGGCAGGAAAAACGAGCAGCCAAAGGAACGTGTTAATGCCTTAGACACCAAAATGATGGAAAACTCCACTCCACAAAATCCCTCATCAGGCCGGCTTGACTTTTTAACCTTTAAACCTGACTTCACAAACCCCAAAGAGAAGCTAAAAAGACGAAGAAGCTGAATTAGTGGCTGTTGGAATTTCGGGTTGCGAATGTTTTGAAATTTTAATTTGCGAACGTGACTGACCAATTGGCTGGGCCAAGGAAAACCCGGAAGAGGCCGTCAAGAAAAGCAAGGAAAAACCAGAAAGTGAGCTAATTATTGGCACGCCGAAGTATGTATACCCTTGTAGATTGCAATTAATTCACTACAAATGGGTCAAAAAGAAAAGAAAATCTTACAGAAGAAATGATAATAAAAAATAAACATTTATCCATAATTTTTTATCATAATTTTTGGGAAAAATCAAATATAAAAAATATTCCGAGTTAGTTTAAATAATAAATAAATTTGAATACTAAATTTTTGTTGTTTAAACTTTCTTAATTAAAGTAGTTTTTTATTTGTAGTAATTTTAACAATGTTAAAAAAGATGTGAATTTTTCCTTCATTTTTTTTAGAAAAATTAAAATTTAAAAAGGTAAGTTCAACATGCCAAAGTTTGTATAGCCTTGCAAAAATTAAAGAAAAAAAATTATAAAATAAAAAAAAATTATAAAGATAAAATATATATAAAATTAAAAAAAAAAATATATATAAAATTAAAAAAAAAATTATAAAATTAAAAAAATATATATATATAAAATAAAAAAATATATATATATAAAATTTAAAAAAATATATATATAAAATTTAAAAAAAAAAAATTATAAAATAAAAAAAAAATGGCTCTATTTTTTTGTATTATTTTTGGCAAAAACCCTAAATCTAAAAAATCCATAGCTAAGCAAAAAATGAATTAAATTAATAAATTAATTCGTAAAGCGCTCGTTTCTTAGTTTTAATTAAGTTAAAAAATCTGCATAAAAATTTTAAAGTTTGTTTTTAATTATTATACTTAATAATGTATCAAATTTGAAAAAAAAAATAGTAAAAAATAGCAAAATGGTATATAAAAAACCACGAAAGTCCCCACCCCTTCACTCCTTGGCCAACTCTTGTGCCTTTGTAGAGAGAAGTTTTGGGTCACAGTTGCAGCCAAGTGCAGCTCTATTAGAGTGCTTGGGAGTTGAGTTTGGCGAAGTTTTTGCTGGCTTTATGGGCCCCTGCATAAGTCATAAGCTGGAAAGGTCGAGGTGACCTATGACCTGGCAGATGGCAAAGGCCAAATGGCAAATGCCCAATGTGTCCAGCGACCAGTGACCAGTGACAACTCCATGGTATTTCTATACATACAGACATATGTAATAAATATATATATCTTTAATCTGTGGAGAGTGGGAAAAGCCTCTCGAATGTCCAAGCATCGCTTCGCATCGAGGGACATTCATGTCCATCATGTTTTTTGGGCAGCTTTGCACTTTAATTAAATTGTAAATATTTCATTTTGGGCATATACATATTTGGTTTTTTTTTTAATTTTGTCAGAATATGAAAATCAAATCAATTTCCATTTGAATTTGTGCATTACAATTTGTTGGCAGCCTCGCGTTCGCCTGACTGCTCTGCCAAATTAAATTTAATGGCATTCAAAATGTGTGTGTCGAAACAGCATTTATATGCTAATTTGCATTTATTTCTTTCACTAAGCTTCCAAAGAAATCGCAACAGCAGCGAACTTGTATGGTATTTTAATTTATTTACTTAATTTATAAGTGTTATAAAGTTAAAAGTGTTATTTATAAATACAGTTTAGTGACAAAACTCTGGGAGCGAGTCATATTAAAAACGCTAAAAAAAAAACTGCCTAAAATATTTGTAGAAATGCTTTGACCATCCAATATCCCTTTCCTTGTAATATCCCTTTCAAAAATATATATATTTTCCTGTCTGCAGTCTCTCTTTTACATGATTTTTAAGATACTTCACTCTTTTTTTTGTCACTCATCATCCGCCCAATTAACTTTGGCTTGACCTTGGCCTATCATCCATTCACTACCTGCGAGATACAGAGAAAGTCCTACCATTTTCCTGGCGACTTGGCTGGGTAATTGAGTCAGTTTGTGAACAGGATCCTGTGGCAGTCGCATCCTCAGTCGACCGACTGTCAGTCAATCGCTGTCGATGTCAGTGCAAACAGAAATTTAAATGCGTCAGCAAATGGCAAACAAAAGGGGTAAGGGAGTGAAGAAAATCAGTGGGGGGGGTTGGGGGGTCGGAAAAGTGCCACTGACATGTCACACCACCGACAGAAGCAGCAGCAGCAGCAGCAACAATTCGTTGTCAAACAACAAAAGTGACAAAATAAATTAAATTGACTTGCCTTTGTCCAGCCTTCTTCCCCTTTCTTCAGTTTTTCCCTTCATTTCCATTGTCTAAGTGTGCGTGCCTGCGGTAGAAAAGCGGCTGCGCTTTTCCATAGTTTTTTCTTATGCCTTGACTCTGTTTTCCGCCCCTCCCCCACTCCCCCACACACACACACACACACACGCACTGCCAACACAATGAAATGAGACAATTGAGCGTGTGACGGGGGGGCGCTTCTAGAAGAAAAGAAAAAGGGATAGGAAAAATAAGGCAGGGGAAGGGTATGAAGTCCACACGATGAAGACATCAGCATAGTCAAACGTCAGGACATGGCAACTCAAGCGTCACGTACTCGCCTGTCAGTGGCACGACTTTTCCTTGGAGTTCGACTCCGAGTTCAACTCATTTGAACCTTGACTGAATGACTGACTGACTGACTGACTGACTGAGCGACTGACTAACTGACTACTCCAACTAAAAGTCAGCCAGCAGCAAAAGTAAATTAAGAGCAGTGACAAAGCCTAGCTTTCAGTCCTTTAAATGAATATCCCACATAGGTAAAAAGCAAGGAGTTTGAATATTATACGAAGGTGAAGTGTGATTATTTACTTTTTGCATTAATTTATAAATATAGAAAAATATATACATGTACTATTAATTATTTAACTTTAAAGTAAATTCCACTTACCCCTAGAAAAAGAAATCGTTGGTGTGACTGGGAAGTTATTTCAACAACACTGGTGAATAAAATATCTGTAAAGAGAAGGAATTGTATTAGAAAAAAAATCAAAACAAAATAAATATATTTAATAAATAAATATGTAAAACTATAAGTAATTCATCGAAAATTTTGTAAATAAAAAGACAACAAATTAACAAAGGCTCTAGTTTTTCTCATATTTTTCACCAACATATTCACCAACATGGCTTTGAAAACTGAGATAAACAATTGGTTTAAATTGAGAAAATAAATATAAAATAATAATAACATTAAATTAAACAATAAGCCTATGAAAAATCGCTTGTTTTTCTTATATTTTTCCTCTCTCTCATATTTTTCACCAACATATTCACCAACATGGCTTTGAAAACTAAGATAAACTTGAACCCAATTGTTGTTAAATAGAAAATAAATAAAAAGAGTAAAACGAAAAAAATAAAATTAAATTAAACAAAAAGCCTATGACAAATCTCTTGTTTTTCTTATATTTTTCCTCCCTCACAACCCGCATTTTCCGACGACAGATCGGTGTTGCCAAATTTGTTGGCCGCCTTGGGCCAAAACTGTAACCAAGTGTGTGTGTGTGTGTGTGTGTGTGTTGTCCTGTGCTGTGTGGCTGTTTTTCCGTTACTTTACTTTGACTTCCTGCAGCAGAAGACGAAGAAGAAGAGAAAGAAAAAGGAAAAGCAGAAGAAGCAAACGCTTCTACGCTTCACATGATTTGCATGAAAAGGACTGCAGGACCAGTGATGGCAATTTGTATATTTTCCAAGGAAAAATGGGTT